ACATGATATTTTTGTAAGTTATCTTGTAGAAATGTTATCTTGTAGAGATAGATGTCCTTTCAGCAGACCCATAACATTTTTTTCTTCTATTGATTCGCCAACAATTGTTCATGCTTTGGGATTCAAAAATATAAAATGTTACTCTAATCTCTTTCCTTCTTTTTGCTTCTAATCAAATAATCCCTGAAAAATTATCTTATCTCTACTTACAATTCATCTCAACTCCTCAAGGACTAATTTTTATATTGTTAAACGTTCACACAATACTATATGTAACTCTGTACGTGTGTGTGTGTATTTGTGCTCCTCAACAGCATTTTGGGTTGCCATAGCATTAAACGAATACAATGCAATAAATTTGTATTCAGTTAAACTCAATCAAGCTTTACCACAAATAGCAATTCGTTCTCCTTTTTATAAAAAAAAAAATATTTTTCGAAACTTAAACCAAATATCCTACAAAAAAACCCCAACGTAACGATTCATCATCAATTCAACATCAATTGTTAAAAATTTGTATCAAACCAAGTACTACAAAAAAAAACCCCAAACAAGTGGGAATACATTTCCACAAAACAAGATTTGAGGTATTGTCGAGCTCTATGTTCGGTATTGTATATTTGTTTGTTGTTGTTGCTGCTGCTGTTGTTGTGTGGAATTCCCCATGTTCTTAATGATAGGAAATGAATGCCTGATTTCAATCGAATACTGTTAACATTTATTTTTTTCTGTTCCGTTTTTTTTTTTTGCATTGTGGGAATACCACACAACTGCCTACAATATCCGTAGCCTATCCTAGGCATCATCACATCAAAATTGTTTCGCTCCGCATCGTTATCAATTGACAACAGATTGATGTACATTATTTTTATATGTTGTTTATCTACGATTGACAATTGCAATAACAAATAATAACGCAGAGAGACGGATACAGATACAACAACAACAGCAGCACAAAAAATAAACACTCATTTCCAGTTATTCGCATTTGTATGTCAGTCAGACAATCATTCAAACGATTCTTGGTAAGCTGCTACCTTTTTTTGTATGCGAATGGGGGAGGGCCCCTTTCAGGTGAATTTCGATTGGATTCTACAGAAAAGAAATTTACAATTGAGCTGGAAAATTTTTATTGAATATAAAATCGAGATATTTCGAAGAATCCTATTATAATATGCATTGTTTGTTATTACGAGAAGGAATAGAAAAGTAAAAATTCATTCGAAGTCATCATACCCAAATGAAATTAACAAATTAATATGTCTTGGAGAAAATCCCTGACTCTTCTATGGATTTAACAAATATTTTTTAAAAAATCTACGCCTCTTCTATGGATTTAACAAACATTCTTTAAAAAAATCTACGCCTCTTCTAAGGCTTAAAAAATATTCATTAAAAAATCCACGCCTCTTCTAAGGCCTGAAAATATCCTTCCTTAACTGGCTTGTTACAGAACGGTTGTTCCATAAGCCGAGCTTAAACCAGTAAGGATAGTAGTAAAGTCGGACGGGGCCGACTATATGATATCCTTCACCACCTTGCGTATATTCAAAAGATGAATCCTAACAGACGCCGCATTTTTGAAAGTCAAAAGATATATGGGTCTTTGGTACACCATTTACATAAAATCAGACGAAACTATATATGGGAGCTATATCTAAATCGGAACCGATTTTCACGAAACTAAACACACATCATTCTAGGCTCAATTCAGGACACTATGTCAAATTTAGTGCAAATCGAAATATATATAGGGACTTTGGTGCACCATTTACATAAAATCGGACGATACTATAAATGGGAGCTATATCTAAATCTAGACCGATTTCCACGAAACTTGGCAGACATCATTCTAGGCTCAATTCAGTACGTTGTACCAAATTTCGTGCACATCGAATGATATATAGGGACTTTTGTACACCATTTACCTTAAATCGGACGAATATATATGGGAGCTATTTCTAAATGTGAACCGATTTCCATAAAACTTAACATACATCCTTCCAGACCTATTTCATTACGCTATGCCAAATTTCGTGCAAATCGAAAGATATATAGGGACTTTGGTGCACCATTTACATTAAATCGAACGAAAATATATATGGGAGCTATATATAAATCTGAACCGATTACCATGCAACTTAGCACACATCATTCTGGACCTAATACAGTATCCTATGCCAAATTTCGTGCAAATCGAATGATATATGGGGACTTCTGTACACCTTATAGCTTAAATCGGTCGAAAATATATATGGAAGCTATATCTACATCTGATCCGATTTTCATTAAACATATCACGCATAATTCTAGACCTAATAGAGTACGCTATGGCGAATTTCGTGCAAATAGAAAGATATATATGGAAGCTATATCTAAATCTGAACCGATTTTTCCCAATTTCAATAGGGTTCGTCCTTGGGCCAAATAAGTGAGCTATACTAATTTTCATCGAATTCGGATCATAAATGCGACCTGTACTTTGTTTAGAATTTAACATGGACAGACGGACGGACAGACGGACATGCATAAATCGACTTATAAAGTGATTCTATGCATATTCTCAAAAGGAACCATGGGTCTATCTCCTTTCCTTTTGCCTGTTACAAGCATATGCAAGGTTATACAAATCCGCACCTGTTGATAGTCCTTGAAAAATTATTTTTTTAAGTCCACGCCTATAGATAGTCCCTGGAAAAAAATATTTTGTAAAAAATCCAAGCCTTGTGTTATGCCCACTGTGCAAGTATTTTTTCTCTCCCACGGTTCAAAAACAACTATTAGTTGTCATTTCCTTCCAGGAGACTTTTTGTTGATGATAATGCGGCGGCTGCTGTTGTTATTGTGTGTTGCCTATTTAGTTACTGTTGTTGCTGTTGTTAGCTGGTCCGGCAGATAGCTTTTGCTATTGTCTGCTGTGTCATTGTTGACAATGATGTTGTGTGCTTTTCGTTTTTTTCTGCACTCTTTTGTTGTTCTGTTTTGTTCCTCCTTTGTGTATTATTGTTATTTTCTGCTGCTGCTGCTGTTATTTGTTGTATGTGTCAGTGTGTGGGTGAGTACGAGCGAGCGAACGAGTGTTGTTTCAAAATTAATGACATTCTTTTGTATTGTCATTCGCTGACATATTCAGATCATTAATATTGTTTTTGTTTGTTAGTGTGTGTGTGTATGTGTGCGTGTTATATTTTTTTTGTTATTATTGTTGTCAATGGTATTTGTTTCTGTTATTTCCTACAATTTGCTGTCACTGTTACGTCCACCTAGCCACCACTGATCCACTCTCGCTCTCTCTCCCTCTCTCAATAGTTTTTGCAACGCATTGCATTTTTTGCGTTATAACCCGTTGGGTTTTATTGTCATTTTTGTTGTTTGCATAAAATGTATTTGCATTCGTCTGTCTCTCGGAGTGTGTACGAGTGAGTGAGTGTGTGTGTGTGTGTGGGTTCGTTGTGTATTATAACAGAAACTCTACATTTTGCACAATTTTTATACTCGTATATGCATACACATTTATTTACAATTGTTGAAATACGTGAGTGTATACATGTATGTGTGTGTGTGTGCGGGTACTGTCTGTTTGCCTGTTCATTCCACTGTTTATCAAGGGAATTAAATCAGTTCACAGTGATTATATGCCAAAAGCAATGACATTTCTTTTTTTTCGTTTCAGTGTGTGTGAACGTGCACAGTTATTTCTACTTCCTCTTTCCGTCTCCTACTCGATGCTTTTCTCTCTCTCTCGCTGTGTAGCAAAATTTTAATGTTTAAAATGTTTACCCCGGGGGAGTTCATTGAAATTTAGTTTAGTTTATTTTTGGAAAATATATCCATCCTTTTGTAAATTGTCTTGGCCATAAAATTGCAATTTACAACGATAAAGGAGTACGCTGGAGAATGTGTGGGGAGGGAAGGTGGTTGTGTGTTTAGAGAAAGTAAACCGTTTTCACTTCAATAATTTATGTAAATTGATTTACAATTGCAGCCCTACATTACTTGGCGAATTCTTGGCAAATTCATTTTCGAGTAGTAGAACACAGCATTGGCAAAATTGCTGCTGCATACTTTTTGGAAATTAATCAAATAACTCCTGGGGGTATGCTTTAAACTATGCAATGCTCATGATTCTTTTATTTTGGGTAGTAAAACAAAATTGAATAGAAACAATTTATATTAAATTAAATGTGGATTTTATATAAGGCGTGGATTTTTAAAAGACTATTTTTCAGAATTTTTTATAGAAAAAAATTTCAAGCCATAGAAGAGGAGGAATTTAAAAAAAAATGTCTAGCCTTAGAACATGGAGGTGCTTTCCTAAACAATATTTTTAAGGACATACACAAGGAGCGAAATAAAAAAAATGTAAAGATCTTAAAAAGGGGGGAAAAATAATAAAGTCCTTTAAAAAGTTAAAGACCTTTACGAGGCGTGCATTTTTTAAAACAATATTTTTAAGGAAGGATTTACAAGGCCAGGATTAAAAAAAAATATTTTTTAAAAATGTTGGTCTCAAGTTTCCTCACCTATACGAGGCGTGGATTAAAAAAATAAATATTTTTAGAGACCTATACAAGACGAAGATTATTAGACAAATATTTTAAAGATCTACACTAGGAGAGGATTTACTAAAAATTATTTTCCAAAAACGTTGGTCTAGATTTTTTTCTCAAAAATGTTGTTAATTTTTCTAAAAATAGTTTTGAAGTAATTTGAGACCTTAAGAATGTTGGACATTCTTTTTGGGACAAACTTTTTTTTGGTCCAAAAATTTACTATAAAATTTTATAAATCACCTTAGTCCATTTGACAATAATCAATAACACTGGATAAATAACCAAATTGAAGCAATTTTTAAAAATTAAAGCATACTTTTAGGATGTATTAACCCGCAAAAAAAACAAACCAATTAAACCCCTTTACAACAACAAACAAAACTCATCATAATATTTTTCCTCTTTCTTCCTTTCTTTCTTTGTTCTTCCAGTCCACATCCGATACAGCGACACAAACACCAAGAACTCTACCATCCGTTGATCTCTTGGCCGACCACAAACGGCGCCATGTCCGCTACCAACGTCAACAGCTGCACGAACTACAATTGGCCCAGCGTCAGCTACGCCGTCAATTCAATGAATTGAAATATCATCGTATCGGTGAACGTGTTCGCAGCATTGAAATCGAACAGCATCGTGTTGCTGATGCCAACTTCAATCTTTCGCGGCAAATTGCTTCTCTGGATAAGTTACATACATCGATGCTCGAACTGTTGGAAGACGTTGAACAGGTCCAAACGAAAGTCGATAAAAATCTACCCGAATTACGTCACGAAATTTCCAAATTGGAATTCGGTCATGCACAACTGATGTCCGAACAGAATCTGGTGCGTGAGGAGGGCAAAAATGTGGCACGTTCATTGCAGGCATTGGCCTACAGTGTTGGTACACTGCAGGAGGAACGTGATGGGGTGCGTCGCATGCAATCAAGTGTGGGTGAAATGCGTACGCAATTGGATCGTTTGCAAACAATGGTCGATGATATACAAAGAGCTTTGCAGCATCGTCAGCATCGTGGTGGTGCCGCACATATAAATAAGGTGAGTGGGGATGAGTGGTGGGTGATGAAGTGATATGGTAGGGTGCGGAGTGGATTGAAGTGGATTGGTTAACAATATTTGATCATTGCTGCGTGTGTGTGCGCGCGTGTGGTATTTCAAAAACAAATATCGGCCAGTAACTGGAATAGAAACGCTAACACTTAAATTGGAAAAATGTGGCGAATGGCAGCAACAACAACAACGTTTTGCAGTCGTGTGTAGCAAATACCGAATAACGATGACAGCTACACCATTTCAATTTTTTGAGTACCAAAAAAAGCAGCAGAAAAGGGTCTAAGGGAGCAATTAACAATAAAATATACCGAATATTTAATTAAATAACCCAAATAAATTGAAAGATCCACAAAATAGGAAATGTGATATTAAAATGAGAAATATGAAACAAATTGTGCATCGTTTAGGAGGAATGAAAAAACATAAAATTTTGGGCGAAATTTTAATTTTAATATTTTAATACAAATAATTTTCTTGGGAAACAATACCCAAAATTCGTTATGCCAAACATTTTGATTACCCTTCATCACACTGTGGTACAGATTATTATGTCTTTGTGCATATGTTTGTAACAGGCAAAAGGAAACGAGATAGACACATGGTTCCTTTTGAGCATATGCATAGAATCACTTTCTAAGTCGATTTATGCATGTCCGTCCGTCCGCCTGCCTGTTAAATTGTAAACAAAGTACAGGTCGCATTTATGCTCCGAATTGGATGAAATTTGGCATAGGTCACTTATTTTGCCCAAGGACGAACCCTATTGAAATTGGGAAAAATTGGTTCAGATTTAGATATAGCTCCCATATATATTTTCGTCCGATTAAAGGTAAATGGTGCACCAAAGTCCCTAAATATCTTTCGATTTTCACGAAATTTGGCACAGCGTACTAAATTAAGCCTAGAATGATGTGTGCTAAGTTTCGTGGAAGTCGGTTCAGATTTAGATATAGCTCCCGTATATATTTTCGTCCGATTTAATGTAAATGGTATACCATAGTCGATATATATCTTTAGATTTGCACGAAATTTTGCACGGGGTACTGAATTAAGTCTAGAATGATGTGTGTCAAGTTTCACGAAAATCGGTTCAGATTTAGATATAGCTCTGATATAGATATATAGTTTCGTCCGATTTAAGGTAAATGTTGTACCAAAGTTCCAATATATGTTTCGATTTGCACGAAATTTGGCATAGCGTACTGCACAAAGCCTAGAATGATGTGTGTTAAGTTTCGTGAAAATCGGTTCAGATTTAGATATAACTCTGATATATATTTTCGTCCGATTTAAGGTAAATGTTGTACCAAAGTCCCTATATATGTTTCGATTTGCACGAAATTTGGCATAGCGTACTGCACAAAGCCTAGAATGATGTGTGTTAAGTTTTGTGAAAATCGGTTCAGATTTAGATATAGCTCTGATATATATTTTCGTCCGATTTAATGTAAATGGTATACCAAAATCCCTATATATCTTTCGATTTGCACGAAATTTTGCATAATCTACTGAATTAGGTCTAGAACGATGTGATAAGTTTCCTGAAAATCGGTTCAGATTTAGATATAGCTCTGATATAGATATATAGTTTCGTCCGATTTAAGGTAAATGTTGTACCAAAGTCCCTATATATGTTTCGATTTGCACGAAATTTGGCATAGAGTTCTGCACAAAGCCTAGAGTGATGTGTGTTAAGTTTCGTGAAAATCGGTTCAGAGTTAGACATAGCTCTGATATATAGTTTCGTCCGATTTAATATAAATGGTGCACCAAAGTCCACATATATCTTTCTATTTGCACGAAATTTGGTAAGACGTACTATATTGAGCCTAGGGCGATGTCTGCCAAGTTTCGTGAAAATAGGTCCCGATTTAGATATAGCTCCAATATATAGATTGCAGAATGCCATGTTTGATTTCATGGTAATGGTCTTTCAAAAATGTGACGTCTGTTAGGATTCCATCTGTTGAATATACCCAAAGTGGTGAAGAGTATCAAATAGTCGGCCCCGTCCAACTTTACTACTTTCCTTACTTTTTTTTTTTTTTTTTTTTGTGGAGATATTAGCGAAAAAATTGTCATAATTTTTTGTGTTGTTGTTTAGATAAGTAGAGTATGAAGATTTATGCTCGTGTAATTTGCAGATGAAAGAGCTGCCAGTCTGACTGGCGTGCTCGCTGCATGGCTGGCCTGAGAAGAATCCTTGTTTTTTCTAAGCTTTTAGGGTTTTTTTTTCGAAAATTGATCCAAATTTTTGGTCGAAAATTTTTTGTTTCTTCTAGAAATTTTTGGGTATTTTTCCCCATTTACCCTTCTATATATGACCAAAATTTGTATTCCCCAACAATTTCCTACCACTACAAAATCCCATTTAATTACTAAAAAAAATCCCGCATGGAAAAATATGTTCCCAAAAATGGTGTAACCTGAATAGTGAATGGGTAAAACAGGACACCAGACCTCGACTAGAACGAAACACAAAAACATTCCGCTTAGAATAGATTTTCAATTAAACGAAAATGAAACATGATGGTCGGATGGATGGATGGATGAATGGATGAATGTATGTCTGAATGAATGGCTGGCTAGTTGTATAGCTGATCCAACTGCAACAATACATACGTTAGGTTTTTGTGATTTCGCTTCGCTTTTGTTTTGTGTTTCGATTTTTTTTTGTTCATCCTTTAAAACATCAGGATAATATTTCCTAGTATTGTTTGGCATTGTTGCTGTTACTTTTTTCCCGGGTACGTGCAATTTGCCAGTGTAGCTTTTGTTGAGATTTAACCGAAAACTGTTTGGCTGATTTCTGGTTGTCCCCTTTTGTCTTTGGGTCTGCTAGTTTTCGTTGTTGTTGTTATTTTTGGTTGCAGCCATTGCTGCTGCTGTACTTCCTATTATGTATTTGTTTGTCAACAATAGACGAAAACTCTTTCAGCTTTGTTTTGGTTTTCAGTCACATTCGGAGCTCCGCAGTATAGATAGAGATATGGATAGATACCCCCCAAAAAACACAACAGCAACAACCAACACATTCAACATGAAATTCAAATCTGTCACGTTGTGTCAACGTTTGCATAACTCTATTCTCTGGAATACTAGGGAATCATCAGAAAACTAAAAAAACATAGCAACATCACATACACACTCACACACACACTATTGTGCGAATGTTTAGAGTGGGTGTGTATGTGAGGATATGCGATTTTGGTTTCGTAATATAAAACTAGGAATTATTTCTTTCAAAAATTTTTCGTTGTTGTTGTTACTGACAAGCCTTTAATTTCAGTTTACACAGCAATTTGAAAGGATTTCTGTTGTTTTGATGGGTTGGAGGGGAGTTCTTTTTTCCAATTTAAAAGAGTTAACAAAAACTGATTGAAATTTCATCAGCAAAAAGGCGAGGATTTTTGTTCTGGTTGGATAAGCCAGGAAAGGCAATTGTGTGTTCAAATAAGCGAACAGTTTCCGCATCAGGCCTGGATTTTTTTAAAATATTTTTTAAGTAAACATTTTTTTAAAGGTTATGTTGTTTTTGTTTTCTTATTTATATAAGCTAACTTTTTTTATTATTTGTTTCTTTTTTCTTTCCAGAAATCCAATCATCATCAACGCCATCATAACAACAACAGCAACAACAATAACGATAAGGATAATGAATCGGAAGACAACTCACCACAAAATGCCGAATCGCTGGTAGCCAAATTGGAAAATGTCGAACAACAATTCGAATCAATTATTGCCAAACTGCCGAGAGATTGCAGTGAAGTGACACCCTCCGAGACCACAACTAATGATGGCCTATATCTTATTGCTCCCGCCGGCGATCATCACCCCCAGATGGCCCATTGCACGCCGGACGGTTGGACCACCGTGCAACGGCGTTATGATGGCTCGGCCGATTTTAATCGTTCATGGGAAGACTATGCCAGCGGCTTCGGTTCACCGGCTGGTGAATTTTGGATTGGCAATGAACAATTACATCACTTGACACTGAACAATTGTACACGACTCCGCGTCCTCATGCAGGACATTTACGATAATGTCTGGCTGGCCGAATACAATCAATTTTACATATCGTCACGGTCCGATGGCTATCGTTTGCATATTGGCGGCTATAGTGGTAATGCATCCGATGCATTGGACTATCAGCAGGGTATGCAATTCTCGGCCATCGATGTGGATCGTGACATATCACAAACGCACTGTGCTGCCAACTATGAGGGTGGGTGGTGGTTCTCGCATTGTCAGCATGCAAATTTGAATGGTCGCTACAATTTGGGTCTGACATGGTTTGATGCGCAACGAAATGAATGGATTGCCGTTAAATCGAGTCAGATGATGATTAAACGTCAGTCGCATGAGACGTGTAATTATGGTGGTGGTGGTAATAGTGATTTGACGACTGCCACATCGACGGTGTCGGAAACAACAACAGCGACAGCCACAACAACGACAACGACGACGACGTTGACAATAAACTCTGACAAGTCGATACCCTTAAATAATCTAAGACCTGTTGATGGGCTAACCGATACAGATTCCATGGAATCTGTGTAGAACGTTCCTTTGTACCCCCACAAAATAAATCCTCCTCCACCTTTCAAAAATTAAAATTCCTTCCCCATATCCCCATCACATCTTAGATTATTTATAAATTAAGGGCATTTTTTTACACAGAGAAAATGAACATTAGCTGGATAGTTGTCGTAAAACTTGTTAGAGTTAGAACCACCAAAGCCATACCTTACTATAGTTCGCGGTACCGTACGGATTGTGTACATATCGATATAACAAACAAAGAAAATGAGAAACAAAATTGAAGGCCTCAGATTAGGCTGAGAAGTAATATTAATAAAAACAAAATACTAATACTACTTCTCTTCCTAGATCTGCATCGAAACAAACAAACACACACATAAAAAAATACATTCACAGTCACACTCACACATCGACATCATCACATCACATTCGTTGTAAATAATTATCATTAAAAAACACACGCACACTAACCATTAACGTTTTTTTTCAATATTTTTTTTTATTGTTTTAATTTTTATTATTATTATATTATATACTAACAAAAAAAAACAACAAGAACAACAACAAATGGAAAACCACAAAATGCTATAAATGTACGTATGTATTTTTTACATTATTGAGTAAAAAGAAGAAGAAGCGGAGAATATACAATAATAACAATAACTATAAGCGTCCATTAAAAGTCAATACCATTAAAAACAACAACTACAAAAAGAATTAAAAAAGGTCATATAAAAACAACAACAACAAATACTAAATGAAAGCTTATCAAATAAGTGCTACCAAAACTATTCTTTTCTGTTGGAAAAAAATCACAACAAAAATATTTTTTTTTTTTTGCGAACATTATTTATATATTTTATATAATCTGAATAAGAATAGACATTGGAAAAAAATAATTGCAGTATTGAAAAAATTCCTAACCACATAAATTAGTGCGGTTTTCAATTTGTAAAAAAATATTTTCCTACACTTAACACAAATTTGTATTTGAAATTTAATTAAATTGCCATGCCAAAATCGATATGGGTTATTCAAAAAAAAAAAAAAAAAAAATATTCTCTTGACAAAGGGACAATAGCTGAATTGAAAATTTTGTATTTTTTTTTTTGCCGCAAAATAATTAACAAATTTTCAACAAAATTTACACTTTATCTGGATTTGTTTCCAACTTGAAACAAAACATTTGTCCACAATGGAAATATTTTCATTTTTTTTTATACCGACTAAATTACCAACAAATTGTTTGCATTGAATTTATTTTTTCAGTAATATAATTTACAATGGCTGTTTAGCATACAAAGAGTTTGAATTTAATTTCAAATTTGTATTTCCGTTCATTGGCTGACAGGAAATAGCAAATTTCCAAATAGAAATTGTCTATTTTTATTCAGAATATATTTTGAAAAAAAAAAAATGTTGCAATGTGCTTAAGGGTTTGCAGATAAGAACTTTTTTTAAATAGGAGCAAATTTTAATTTTTTTCTGGCATTAAAAATGTGTAAATTAAAATCAGTGAGCGGAGCAGTCCCACATCCGAGTACATACGACAATATAATTGGGATCAATTTAAAGGTCAACCACTCCCCTTGGATATATTATCAACTTCTCCGGTCTATTATATTTACCGATCTTTATCCAAAGAGACATGCTTATTCTTTAGCCAGATCCCCTTATCCATGTAAAAATTCGCGAAGTTTGGGCCATAATTGAGGCCTCTGGAGCGACCAGAAAAACCGACAAAAATTTACCAAAAACAATATGAGTCTTCATTGACCAGAACTCATCCTACATGCAACATTTTGTGAAAATGTGGCCTGTATCATGTTTACAAAATAAAAATGGACAGACGGACGGACACACATGTCTAGATCATTTCGCGGCATTACAATCTCTTGGGGCTGGACAAAGCTGTAATACCCTGGAATTTGTAGAATCAGTATCATCACTTTTTTCAATTCGGGATTATGGGTTTAGAAAATGTTTTTTGTCAATTTTTTTTTCCTAAACTCTTCTCTATGATGTATTTCTTCGGATACCTCTATTTTCTGAAATCCTGGAGCGTTTTCACGCAAGAATATTTTTCCTCGGAACTTGTAGAATCATTAAAAGGCTTCAATAATTATTTATTCTTATATCTTTTTAATTCGAAATTATTGCTCTAGAAAATGTTTTTCTGGATTCTGGAGTTTTTTTATGTGATTTTCATTTCCATCTATTTTAAAATTTTGGGTGCAAATTTCGATATTTACCTTGATTGCCTTTATTAATTGCATTTTAATTTTAATAACTATAGCACTTCCCCTTTAACCATTTTAACCTAGAAACGGATTAAATTTCTAGATATCGTTTGATATTATTATTTAATTGTTTATCGAAAATTGTGGATTTGCGTAACGATTTATTTTCAACTATATATTTGAAATCATACATATATATAATATATATATATATATATATATGATATCAAAAACTCGTTTATATTATATTTTGTATTACGATGAAATTCTCTACAATTATATATAATTAATTATTTTCAAAACAGATACCTTTATCATCTTCTGATATATTGCGAGCATCTGATATTTGCAATATGGACAACTTGTGTTTAACTTATATTTTAATTTTTTATTGCAAACATTTTCACATATTTTTCCACTCCTTTCTGCCTGTCTGTGTGGGAAAAATACATAGCTTCATTCTCCTTACTTTTCACATCTGTTTAATTCGAAGAGAGGAGAAAATACGGAATGAGTTTGGAGTTGGGTCGTTCCGCAACAAACTAGTTCATTTAAACTGTTTCGTTAAAGGAATGATAAGAACTAGTTGCATTTCTTTAGTTCCAATAGTTCCTTTTTGTGATACCGTTCATTTATGTGTTCTCTTATCTCTTTGTGATTTCATGCATTTTATTATAAAATTTTTATTTCTATAAACGAATTATATTTCTAGATAAAATAAATTATTAAAAAGAGGTTTTGTAGATTTTTCTTTTTTAATATAGAAAATGAGATTCCTTTAAATGTTTTACTAAAAAGCACGTGGAACTTTTTTCTCCAAAACACCTGAAGGAACGATAGGAACTAGTTCCATTTCTTAACTCTAAATTTTCTGCGCATCTTCATTCCGAGCCTGGGCAATATTTACACTATTAGAAGTCAACAGTTCCTCTAATTTCTTAACACGGCATCTCTTCCGAATCGTGTTTTTCCAACGTAAAATATTACTCCATAAGTTTTAAATTAAAAAAAGGTATTTGGGTTCATTTGACCAATATTAATTGTCATCTGATCACCATCGAAAATTATAGCAAAGTCTTTGACCATAACCCGAACTTCAAAGTCCTGGGATTTAACCTGCTAAATACGCTTATTCTTTAGTCAGATCTTTTTCTCGGTGTAAAATTCGTTGGTCCATCAAAAAAAAAAAAAAAATACAGGTCATTTTAGATCAGATTTGGCGGCGTCACGAACTATTGGGCGCCACACAGAGCTATAATACCCCGACAACATAGTTGTGTATGATATAATGATATTTTGTATTCTGTTGGGGATACACCATACTATCTTTATAAAAATATTTTCCAAGAACGGAAATTATGCTGATTTTTAACAACACAAGTTTGTTTGAAGTTGAAATACTTATAGCCATTTGAGAAATAATAGAGCAAATTCTTCTTTCTATAGGCCTTGAATTTTCAAGTTCCAAAATTTATTGCTTCATTGTGGCGTATAAATATTGCCGTTACTTATACGCAACATTGGTATTTGGGACACGAGCACGAAAAAAAATTCGTTTCGAAATCCACACTTTTGAAAGAGAAATGGAAACCTATTTAATAAAAATATCTTGTTTAAAAACTGAAATGAAATCATTTATAAAAAAAGACATCAACTGTTAAAAAATGTGACGCATAAGTGCTGTCGTTACTCATACGTTACATTGATACTTACTTATTTTAATGACTTCATTGTGGCGTATAAGTGATGTCATTACTTATACATAACATTAATTCTCTGGGACATAAGATGTTCGTTTCTAAATCTACAATTCTGTGGATTTTAACAAATCCACTATATTCTTTAAAAATACATGGTTCATTAAGACCTGAAAAGTTACCGGTTGTTATATAGTTATTGTTTATTTTTTACTGCCTAAGCTCATTGTATTGAAATAGTTACTAATAATAGTTACACTTACAGTCACATTAAAATTATATTGGGACGTATAAGTGTATATACAAATGTATACACAAAATAAAAAAAAACATCCATTATACAAAAAAACATCAATTTATATTGAAAAAATCCCTGATATTAAAATTTAATACCTTCAATGTAGCGTATAAGTAATGTCGTTACTCATACGTTACATTGATATTTACTTATTTTAATAGCTTCAGTGTGGCGTATAAGTGCTGTCATTACTTATACGTAACATTTATTCTCTTGGACATTAAAATAAGATCTTCGTTTCTAAATCCACTATATTCTTTAAAAATAAATAATTCATTGAGACCTCAAAAAATTCCCAGCTATTATTACAGTTAAAAATTATTTTAATAGCTATATTTGGGGCGTATAAGGTTTCGTTACTTACACGCCACATTGATACTTGGTTCAATGGATTGTACAAAATAATGTCCATTATTATGTATTTTTCTGCTAGTGAAATAGCCATGAAATCTGGGAAAAAAAAAAAAAATATTTGAAAAATATATTCAACTATTTTTTTTAATAATATTTAAAATTGAAAGTTCTTATCTGATAATCCTATTTCATTTATTCTTCTTAAAGAAATGTTTAATTGTTTATTTTTCCTACTGCTTTTTGTAAAGAAGAAAAATATCTTAAGCTCATTGTATTGAAATAGTTACTAATAATAGTTACACTTACAGTCACATTAATTTAAAAAGTTTTTTTGTATTACAAAAAGAAATAAATGAAAATAAATAAAAATACACAAAGAAGCATAACAGAAAAGAAAAAAAAAGAATACAAAAAATCTATGTAAAGTGC